CGCATAAAGCATCTGAATCAACACTGTGCAGGTCTCCTGGTTGAATTTCCCCTTGTTGGGGTGCGGATTCCTCCAGACGACGCTCGGCAAACAGCCCGTTCTGCTTCAAGAACTCCTGGCTCGGTGCCGACGTCGTCATCGTCGCGAAGTCACCGAGGTTTGAAAGATCCTGATGTTTGCCAAGCAACTCTTGAGTCAACATGACAGTGTGGCTGGCAACCAGGAGAATATCCTTGGCGAGGTCAACGCTTCCCTCTTGGAGGCACTTCTCCTCTTCTGGAGCAAGTTGCTGCTTGTTCAAGAACTTCCTCACAAAGCCCCCGACGATCTCGCCGGCAACCCTTGGGAGGTCCTTCACGTTGAATTGCGGCTTCTTTTCCTGAGCGACGACGGACAAGGGTTGGGAATCCTCGGTAACCGTGGGCTTGCCGACGATTTGCACAAAAGGGTGCGCTGACGCAAATGTCAGCCAGGTGAAGTGTAGCCGCCACATATTCACCAGGAGAAAGTATGCATGCAATCTGCCTACGTTCTTTTTCTTGAGCCATCATGGCAAAACTTTAGGTCGAGGGCTAGCTCCATGTGCTCAACACATACTAGTTGGCACTGCCCAGGCCTGGGTACGTGCAGTACCGAGACCGCACACCCTCATCCGGTGCCGAAGTTTCGCCAATGAATGAGACTACAAATCGAAACTGGTGAATTAGATCCAGCAACAGGCGCGAACTCACGAGGACGACACCCATCAAAATTTCATCAGACCACTCATTCTAGCTCAGCTGTGTTGGGGAGAGCTGTGCAATTCGATCATGGCCGTATCTGCCACAAGTAGAGTGTGAGAGACCTTGGCCGAATCATGTGCCATCCTAAAGCCCTGCATGCTTGAAATCCCCAAGCCCGCCACCTTGCCGGGAGCCTGCTGAAAGCCCTGGCCAGGGCAGCTCTAGGGCTGAGTAGGTGAAGTGGTGGTGTTGACGTGCTTTGAGCCCTCGCTTTAACCTCAGACCATGGGCACAAGTCTTTTAGTTTGGGGTTCCGGGAAGATGTCAGACGACGGACCTGCCGAAACAGCCACCCCAAGAGGACTTGATAACAGCACACTAAGCCCTTAACCTTTTTTGCACTCAGACTCTGCCGATCAAGAACACTGCGACAAACTGCGGCGCCTAAACCCGGAAGTCGTTGTGCCGCCGGGCAATTGGTCGACGGGTTGACTGCAATGTGAAACCCTAAACCTTGCCGACAGAAGCCTGGGGGTAATTCTGCTGGGCCGCGTTCGCATTGGCTAGCGAAGTCGGACCTGGGGACAGGGCCTATCCATAACCAAAAAAAAGAAAAAGGATACGAAGACCGTCCCCGTTCGTGTTACAACATCACGTAACTTCTGCCGACAAGCAGAACTTTTTGCAACAATGCGCATCATGTAACACAAGGGTTGTTGCCACCCTTCTTGAAGGACCCCTGACAAGAAACTGACCTCAAACCCTGCATTGCACCTTCCTGGTCAAAGCCTTCGAGCATTCTTCCCGAATATCTAGAGCTGAATTTAGAATAAAGTCTCAGACTACTACAACAAAATGGACATGAATGTAATAACGTCCACGCCGATAGGGTACTGGTAGTGAATGGTAGATATCCGGCATTACCGCGATCGCTTCCTTCATGATGTGCACAGGAAAGCACAGGACAAAAGCCAGCTGGAAACTTGACAACAAAAGGCAGCATCGAGACCGGCCATGCATCCTACACCCGAGCCCTTAAGACTTAAACCAGAAACATCCCGAAACCCTGAACCATGCCCTCCACACCCGAGCTGCCCCTTAAAGTGTGGCGACCAAATGTGCATGAAAAAATCGCGGGTCAGCAGCAGATAGAGAAGCTGTCATCCACAGGGCCGTCGTAGGGCACCTTCCATCCCTTGGTGGGAGGCCTCGGCAGAAGCACAAATCTGGAAATAGTAGTTGCCGTCCTGCTTCGAAACATTTGTTACATTAGTTGATCATGACAAGAAAGGATGAGAAGACGATGAGGATCAGGTTTCTCCACTGCTAGGGACATGATATACCTCAGTAGTATGACAGCGTAGACAAGCCCTTGTGCATCTCCTCAGCCAAGCAGCCGAAAGACTGAGAAAAGGCCGGCTCAGGCTTCAGGCGACGAGTCAAAGGTTCAGCGGGCTGAATAGAAGTACAACCCCATTGACAAGGGAACTTACAACCCAAACCCTACCTGCAAAGTTGCCTGGTCTTATGCATACAGTACAAGGCTCACTGCGTGCCTCATGCGAGGAAGAAGTTGCAGTTGCAGACCAGCAGAGCCGGCGACTCCCCTAAGGCCCGCCAGAACCCAACATCCGCAACACCAAACACAGGAAAGTGCCAATCGATCCTGTGGGCCCCGAGCGTCAAAGACTGGCGGCTTGGATGGTAGGCCCACACCTGGCTCAGGAAATGCGGATAAGTCTGGGAAGTCACCTATTTGATCATTCGCTCCCTCACGTGCTTCTTACCGTGACTGGTTCACGCTATCTGACATCCCAGCCGGTTAAAGCCGAAAGCTGAGTTAAATCCAGCTGGATTGCTCAAAGAGATGGTGCCCAGACTGCTTGAAAGCAATGGCCAAAACTGAAGAACCGAGCATCTGTAAAAACCTGATGCGTTCAATCGATCTCATTCAGGCTGCGTTCAGGCGACCACGCGTTTCAGCTGCAATTTATAATACAATTCACGTGGAGGCTGGAGAAGTCTTCCAAAATCAATTCAGGGTCGGTCTCTGACTCTGGCCTTGTACGAATGTTTGACAAGGCAGTCTCGCAGCAAAATCTGTGTGGAGAGTGTGCCGTAGTTGCTTCTCTCTTCGGAGTTGAGCGCTAAACAGAAGAGCCGTCGCCAACATCCCGCCTACACCAAGCGGTTTCAACAAAACCTCAGATTTTTTCAGATGCTGCAACGACACATCCGAGTTTCTGAGGCAGCCTGACAGCCTACCAAACAAACTTGCACACTTCAGCAGCAAGACGAAGCAAAGCCAAGTTCGTCGCTTTGTTATCTCGTGCTTGCGTTTCCACTATAAGGAATGCCAGACCTCTGGAGGCACGACTGGCACGACTGCATCAAGATGCAGTGGCACCGGCAATTATCGTTGTCGGATTGCCCTCGGTTTGCTCAGCAAGGCTCCGAAGTCAGCCATCGTGCTCGAGAAGAGAACGTAAGCATGTCGATATTTTGCTCGCACGCACATCCATGTTTGCAACATGCAGTGGCCGGTACTCTGCCTGGTCGCCGCCGACCTTGGGCCCGAACCTGTCACCGGAGAGCCAGTCGGTGTTGGAAATGATGCAAATCTACATGCATAGCTAGATCATGGTGCGTGCGCCCGAGCTCATTGCCTAGTGAGCAAGCAAGCTATTGTGCATAGAGGGTGGGATTGTTGCCATTTGCACCCAGAAATCTGTCCACGTCTTCGTATACGATGGATGGCTGTGTATGTCGTCATGAACGAACCAAGGTTTCGGAGGCTTGCGACACACGTGCTGGTTCCTGCTGGCCCGAGTTGTTTCAGCAAGTATGCCACGCGTCTGCACACACTGGTCTATGAATAGTTTTACCAGGCTGTCATGCATTTTTGCCGTGTACGCATGTATGTATACATGTATATCTGTACGCATATATGCTGTAGGCAAACATATGTATAGACATGCACATATACACATGCAATCTGCACAGACACCTAAGACATGAACATATTCATACGTATAAAGACACAAGAAAAGTACCTTGCCAGCCCTAGATGTGTATCGTTGCCTTCATTTGTTCCCTTGCGTGTTGCTTTATGTACTTGTTTTGTTCACCCGAAGACTCTAAGAACTCTAACACTCTAAGCGAGCGGATGCATGGGGACGAGTTCCTGCTCGAGAATCTTCAGGCAATAGCAGGAACGGGCCAAGGGGGCTTTGGGCATCTGTGCAACAATGCGCGAGAATCGGCCCACAGTTCAAGTGCAGATCTCGGGGCCTGACAAGCCCCGAAAGTCCTGCAACCCTAGACCCACAATTTCATCTTTTAACAAGAACAGAGGTCCCGGCCACCAGCCGCAAAAGTTGGGACCGTCACGCCTGCGCCGTTCGGAGTAGGGGGGTCACAAGACAACGGATTGGTTGGGGTTAAGTTCCCGTTTCGGGTTTCTGGGCTGTCGGCAGTTGGAAACCGCCTGCGTTGCTCTCAAGCTTCAGGTTTCTGTTTGGACCCTTTGCCTCTTACACTGGTACCGGTCTTACAGTATAGACGGACCCTTGAGGCAAGGCAGCACGCACAACTCCCGAAACCCCCCCTGCAGCTTCGCCACGAAACGTTAACCGGGTGAGGGTTGTTTTGAGTTCCGGATGAAGCTTGAGGAATGAAGAGGTTGGGGCTGAGAGGTTAGGAAGCTGAGTCTGCGACTCGTCCCAGTAGTAGAGCATGACATCCAAGCCGTTGACTTGGTGATCCTGCATGGAGAACGAGGGGCTGTTGCAAGGCTCAAGAGCAAGATGGAGGAGGAGCATTCCGAGCTGGCTGTGAAACAAAACTGTTGTCACTCTGTGGTTGTGATCGTGACTCAGCACCCCGGTGGCCGACTGAGTAACTTGACGAGGCACTCCATGTTGATGAATAGCACGAAGCTCCGAGTTATGATCCATGGACACCCGCCCCTGATTAAATCCCAAGCACCGAACTCCAGGTCTTCCTTCTTGTACGTTGGCTTCCCATGGTTTTGACCATTCGCTGTGAAGTTGCCTCTCACGATACCTCGGATCAGGGTCGCTAGCAACTGGGCTTCGCCTACGCTCAAAACAGCCAGAGGTTTGCTGCACAACAGGCCATGATAAAGGTATGTGCTTTTCTGTATGCCTGTATGTGCGTACATGCATATGTATATGTACATGTATGTGTATACGTATCTAAATCACAGACCCCTCTCCTTTTCTGTAAACCTGCCGTCTACGGGCCTGCCATTCTGCAGCAAGCGGGAACCTGCACCCGTCTCAGGCCGACCCCAGATGAACGCGCATCTCTTTGAAGCCGCCGGGACCATCGGCAGGCTCCTGGCCGAAGCGGGCGAGTAGCTCTTTGACCGTTGAGTGCTGGTGCTCTCGGACCACGTCCAAGAGCGTCTGGCCCATCTTGTTGGTGATCTTGGCCTGGGCGCCTGCTTGCAGAAGCCGCTCAGTTGTGTTCATGTGCCCGAAGAGCACAGCCTTGAAAAGAGCCGTCTGCCCCAAGCGGGTGCTCACCTCCAGATCCACTCGCTGGTCGCCCAGCAGCTCCTCAAGAGTCGAGATGTAGCCGTTCGCAGCCGCACAGATCAGGGCAGTCGAACCGAAGAGATTCTGGTGGTTCGGATCCACGCCAGGCCTTCGCAGCAGCTCGCCGACAACGAAGGCCCAGTCACGCTGAGCAGCCAGAATCAGTGGCGTGGAGCCGAATTGGTCCATGTCATCCACGTCCACGGTCTCGCCAGGCAGGGCGGCCTCAACGTCCACCTCTCGGTTGCCCTTGATCAACTCAATGAGGCTTGCATGGCGGGGGTATGCGAGGTGGAGGTGCCTTCTTGGATGTGTGGGGATGCGAAGGGGAGCCCTGCACACTGCCAGGCACGCACGGAACATGGCGCGCTGGGCCAGGATTTAAACGTTGAAGACAGTTTTTGAATTTGTCCTTTCTTGGTAGTTTATATGTAGAATCTCTTTCCAAGATGCCAGAAATCGAAACTGAGAACATGTGTAGTGCGAGCCGCGGTGCCAGCGGTGCAGTGACGCTGACGGCGACAATGTGAGAGAAGCATGGCAAGCAGACTGCAGAACTGTATGTGGCAAGCACTGCAACTTCAGAGAGCGGCCAGACTGACAGAAAAATGAACTCTCAAAACCACAGTCTCGGCCGTGGTCATAGCAGCAGAAGCAGCAACAGTAGCAGCTTCAGCCGCAGTAGCATTAGTCGTAACAGTGGTGGTGGTAGTGGTGGTGGTGGTGGTGGTCGTAATAGTAGTAGTAGTAGTCGTCGTCGTCGTCGTAGTCGTAGTCGTAGTCGTAGTCGTAGTCGTAGTTGTCGAGTCGTAGTCGTAGTCGTAGTCGTAGTCGTAGTAGTCGTAGTAGTCGTAGTAGTCGTAGCAGTCGTAGCAGTCGTAGCAGTCGTCGTCGTAGTCGTCGTAGTCGTCGTAGTCGTCGTAGTCGTCGTAGTCGTCGTAGTCGTCGTAGTCGTCGTAGTCGTCGTAGTAGTCGTAGTAGTCGTAGTAGTCGTAGCAGTCGTAGCAGTC